GGGGGGGGGGGGGGGGGGGCGGGCAGAAGAGAGGAGAGGGAAGAAAAAGAGGAAGCAGGAAGGAAATTGTCACGCCTTCTATACTAAGTGTTATATGCCAAATCTAAGAGAGCAGGTGATAAAACTGATTGGCAGCATGGGTGATTGAGAGGAAAACCCCTTGTTTTATCTTTTGCCAGCTCCTTCTAGATTTTTCCTACTAGAAATTCAGGTATCAACAATGCCATCCTAACAGAAGTTATAATACTGTCTCCCATCCCTCCCACCACAGCTTACCTCCCAGGCAAAAAAAGAAAGACGTCTTTCATGTCAAAAACACAATCATTTAAGATCTTGCTTTTTTTCAAGATACATACATCTCTACTTAAAAAATATGTTTTTTTCTGATGATAAAAGTAATGTATGTTGATTATAAGGGAACTGGAAAACCTCAAAAAAGAAAACAAAAGTAACTCTTAAATTCCTACCACTAAGAAGTCACCACTCTAAGTGTGGTTATGTATTTTTCTAACCATCTGTATTTTTACAAAATTGGGATTGCAATATAAATCCTGTTTTGTAACTTATTCACTTAAACACATGTTGGAAACATTTCCACGTGCATTATTCTTCTGTAGTATTATAATAAATTACGTTGATGCAGCTCCCATTCTTGGACATCTACTTTGCTTCCAAATTTCTGTGATAAAAAATACCGTATCTATTTTGCACATGATCTAATGCACACACTTTTCATTATTTTCTCCTAGAAATAACATTTCTGGGTCAAAGACTACTCATTTCTACCACGAAATTGCCTTTGAGAAAAACGGTACCAGTTTAAAATGCCACCAATAGCGTCTATGTTTATTTCGCATTTTTTTGTCTTGACAGTTTGATGTGGTATCCTACTGTACTTTGCAGTCCTTTCATTCTAGTGTGCCTGAGAATTTTAAAAAATGTTTCTCAGTCATTTTCATTTTTCTTTTATGATCTGTATTTTTCTATTAGTGTTCTCTACCCATTTTTCTATTAAGGTATTCATTATGGAATATAGCTTATGTGTGACCCCTGTCATGAGTAGGCACGAATTTTTATATCCGATAGTGGGGAAAAGGGTAGAAGGAGCCCTAAATTAGCAATCACAAGATTCTCTTTCTATTCCTGGCTCCTGTATTACCAAAGAGACAACTCTGGACAACCTGGTTAACCTCTCTGGCCCTCTATTTTCCCTTCTATACAATGAAAAGCCTCAGCTAAAAAACATTTCTAAGGTCTTTTCGAGCCTTTGCCATTCTATGATTCTACATGATCTTCTGCCTGGCTTCTAGAATTCATATTAGCTTCAAGCATCACTCTTGTTAATGCACAGCTGGTTGGCTTAGACGATGAGTAAGTTCTCCTTGGGGACCCAGATACTCTACAAAATGGACTGGTTCAGAGGCATCTTGCCAGTCTTAAATTTATCATTTCCAGGGTCTCTCATTCAATGACCTCAACTGCTGGAAGAAGCCATAAGAGGGAATGCCTTTCATCTATGATCTCACATACTAGCCTCTCCTTCCCATTGAGAGGAAAGCTGAGCTCAACTGAAGCAACAGAGGCCCAAGGAGATGAAGTGAGGCAACGTGACTCACCTCCAGCCCCAGAGTCAGCAATAGGGTCAGGAAGTGACCATGAGTATCACTTCCTACCGCCCTGCCCTCCTGCCTCTGGGCCAGCTCCTCCTGCCCCCTTCCTATCCTTTCTTAACTCCTCCTTATGTTTGAATAGCAGAGGTTAAAGGAGACCGCTCCTATCCTATCCTCTACGCTGTTGCTTACTCATGACTCAAATAACTTAGCCCCAGAGTGGGGATGGGGAAAAAAGAGGAGGGAAAAGTGTAACCAAAAAAAATGGCAATTAAGCCCACGCAGATGTTTCCTTTCATGTACTGATTAGCTGGGAGGACCACTCAACTATTATCCCTGTTTATTTGAAAAGGCTGCTGAAGTGATCTGACTTACCACTCCCTCTGGCTGAGGGTTGGGCTGGGAATACATGTATAGTGAGCCCACTTAAAATTGTACAATACAGCCTCTAGCAATCAGGAGAAATTCTGACACAAGGCCAGAGGCAGGAAATTGCCAGTGTCTCTCTCTTCACAGAAGATAAAAGGCCATTCGTTCTCTGTTTCAGAAACCTTAACTGTGTGCCTTTGGGGGAAAGCATGGCCCCAAGAAGGGCTTCCGTGCTGGCCACTGCAGCAGGGTTGACAGAGCTAGTAAGCCACAAGGGGGCCCCCACCCAAAGACAAGGGGGACATTTATTCCTGGGAACAACAAAACCTGATGAAGTGGAGTACGTGACAATGAAGACTGTAGAGCTTTTCCATTCTCTATAAAAAGGCAAGGGGTTTCTAGACAGGGAAGAAAAAGAGAATTCACAGAGCAGTCTTTGTGTACTAACATACAGCCTGCATCTCTTTCCTTTAAAATTTCTTGGAAGAAAATGAGTCATCTAAAGATTGCAGGAAACCAAATAGAAGTTGGGGGAAAAAATTACTTTGGGCAAAGTTTTTCTTTTAAATGTTTGCATAGTAATCTTTGCCCGGAAAAAAAAAAAAAAAAAAAGATGCCTAAATTTAGAATAGAGATGTGGCACAGTTAACAATGCTGGTTCTATGGGATGGGAAGTGTCATGGTGCGCTCAGGCTGAGCTCTCTTATTTTGAAACTTACCACAGTGTGTTTCACGGGGCCTCCACTCTGATTGCTGCCAAGGAGGGGCTGATCGGAAGACAATGAGATTGCAACAGCTCCTACCAGTTGTATGCTTACAAATTGGGTAGGAAAGCTTCCTTTTCCAACAGATAACAGCATTGGAAACAGGACTGAAATGCACAGTGTCATCTCATCTCCCCAAGACAAGACTGTAATGTTCCAAAGCCTTCTTGCTCACAGAAGGGATGTAACAGCAGAAATGTACGGAAACATGAGAATCCTAGGCATCTGGGATGCCTGGCCACTGGGTTGGTCACTCCTCCTTGGACCTCATTAAATCAGTACATTTCCAGAGCTTGGATGGATTTGTCTATTAGCGTTTCCCAAAGAACACAAATTATGAAAGAGGTTTCAGACGTGTTCTCAACAGGTAGGTTACTTGTTACTGATTCTCTAATTATTCAGATCAGCACTCATGCACTTTCCAAGTTAGGGGTGGGACTGTTGTTTATTGATTATCTACATTTGGAAGCTGTATTTTTTGACAGGTACCAAATTACTCCCTATTTGTATGAAAGAAGAAAAAATAAGAGGAAGGCATGTCTCTGCCATGTGGTGAGAGCTAATTTCAGCCCCATCCCAAGGCTGAGTCTGTCAGCAGGTAGAAACAGTAGAGTCATTTAGTTCTCTGTCATTTAGACTGTGTCAGCAGTTTTCCAAAAAAGAATCCAGTTTTCAAGGGCACATATCTACCCCACAAACCACTAGTATCCCCTCCTCACCCTAAAGATTGTTCAGAGTCCAACTGTTAAAAAAAGTCCAGTTTAAAACTGAATTTCCGTGACAGATTTCAGAGGAAAGGAACATGACCCTGTATTAAACTCTGGCAGCAGGAGAGGCAACACCATACATAAGGTGGTGGTTTCAGGGGCACTCACTCACCACTTCAAAGAGGCCAAGTTTCAGGAGCTGGCGCTTTGCCTGAAATGCTTTTGGTGGGGAGCAAAGGTCTAAAAGGAATGACTGTTTGGTAGCAGGGCCAGTGCTAGGTGATGGTGGGCACTGTGTCTGGTTCTCTCCCTCACCTAACCTGGACCACCAAAATAGGTGGTACAGTGTGAAGCTGTATGCCAAGGCTTTGGGGGTTCAGAGGGCGATGATCTAGCAGGTCAGAACTCAGAAATGACTTCTATATTTCCCCTCCACCACACTACCTGCATATATGCAAGGAGGGCTCTTTCTATTCAGCATTCATTCATGTGTTAGGATACCATGTGATGGCTCTGAGAAAGACTGAGCTCCAGTTAGGACCTTATGCTAAGAGAAACCCAAAGATGTATAAAACACAAATATATTTAATTGCAAAACTTTTATAGAGAGGTAGGCTAGGAGATGCCACAATAGGGACACCAGAGGTGCTTGTGCCTTCTGAAGATAGGTAGAGTAGATGGGTCAAAAAATACTTTTTTTATTGCAATACAGCATAATATGTGTCTATAATAAAAATACTTATGTGCCATGCATTCTGATATTTCCTATTCTTTTATCTTCTCTCCCTCCATTCTGTCTCTCTCTCTCTTTCTCCTTTCTTTCCTTTCCTTTCCTTCTCTCTTTTCCTTCCTTCCTTTTCTTTCTTTCTTTCCTTCTTTCTCTTTCTTTCTTTCCTTCTTTCTCTTTCTTTCTCTCTTTCTTTCTCTCTCCTTCCCTCCCTCCCTCCCTCC